GGTAGTTCAACCCGGTACCAGAGGTGATCTGCTTGTTCCATGAAGAAACCTCCCAAGATCTGCTTCTTACTCCACGGAATAAACACGCCCAAGATCTTTTCATGGAGTAACAAGAACTGATGAACAAATGGAAACATGTTCTAGCCCATGAACTCCATGAAAACATATTACCCCATGAAATATGTTCTTTTCTTATTACCCCAAGAACTTTCTGAAGCCCAAGCCACGGGCTTCTTCCACAAGCCAGGATGGGCCCTCCGCCTGGCCGGAGCTAGAGGCGTCCGCGGACCTGCAGCTGGCGTAGCTCGGTTTCGGTTGCGGCCAAGCCGTGTCTTCTCTAGGTCCCCAAGTCTCACACCCTTTTTTGGTTGGGAGGGTTCCTCTACTAAAATAGACCACAGAGAAAGAAAAGGTTGGTACCCTTATTCTAACCTCTCCACTGGAGGGCCTTGTTAGTTTTGGGGGAGGGGGATGGACGGTCTGTGTTCAAAACTTACTTGGGGGGGGGCTTGGGGTCTTGATGCACCTCATTTTATATGCCCTCGAATGCACATAAGTTTTAGTTTTTTTGCCGGGGGTCGGGAGTCAAGGTTTAGCGACTGCACGGGTCCGGTTTGCCATTGGTTCCTCAAGGTGCGTTCGGCTGGGCCCTCTCGTTTTATGTTCCGTGTGCTGCTTTTCCACTCCCTTTTTCTGGCCCCTCTGTCTCGGCGCGGTGTTTTGGGTCTCCTGAACATCGACCGCCCATGAGAGGGGGGGGGGTTGAGAACTTTCTTTTGAGGGCATGAAAACTTGGGGCCCTATTCAGCTTTGTTCATTCCATATGCTTGACGTGCATTTCTTCTGGATTGACTTTTGTTTTGGGACCCGGGACCGGGCACATCCCACGTGAGCTCCGTTTGGGCCCAGTAACTTGGCTTGTTGTCAAAGTCAGAACCCGTGCTTGTTATTCTCAACACAATAAGGTTCCCTCGTGCAACCAACTCTAGCCGTATTGAGGGTCCCCCCAATCGCTTTCTTTCAGAAAGCCGCACGAATTGCTTGAATTCTTTATTTTGACATGTTTTTTTGTGGGGAGCTTTTTTGGGGCGCTCGCCAGCCTGCATGCCAACCTGCCTGCCTGAAACTTGCACCTACCTGCCTGCTGACCTAAGTACTCAACCCAACGGAAGCAGAGAAGAGGAGTCTGAGCCATTTGTATCAATCAATCCCTCACTTCAACATTGCATTCTATGAGTTTTTTGGACCCGTGGAGGAGAAGTGTACTTTGTGCTAGAACTCAAACTACTCCCTACCATCAGGGGCCTCCTACTAGTAAAATGTGTGTGTGTGTGTGCGCGCGTGTTTGTTTTTTTGTTTCCCGGGCCAAGCATGTTGTTTTCCTTGCGGGGGCAGCGTTTAGTTAGGGGGAGGTGGTTACTTGTGTAGTTTTGTGTTTATGCATGTGTATGTGTCCATGTATGGTAGTTCTTGTTGACCCCATGACTCATGAGCACAAATAACAATTTGTTTGGCTTGAATTTTTAATTTTATGTTTTTCTTTAGCTAGTAAGCCGGCCTTCAATTTGTTGGGTAGGGTTCCTTTGAAATAAGCCAGCAGAAGGGCTGCCTTGTTGTCCCTAGGGGCGTTTTTTGCTTGTGGTAGCTGCTGAGATTTGCAGACCTTGCTATTCGGTTTCTGGTTGTTGATAGTGCTGTTCCGTCCCAAATAGGGGACCCAGGGCTGCTTTGGGCTTCCTTGTGCGCATCCCAATTGCCAAAGGGAAGTTTTCTTGCGATTGGTATAGCCTGCAACCCGAACTTGTGGCAAACAAAAACCATGACATGTTGCTCATTGTTTCGTTGCTGGTGACATCTACGGTCAATCCACTGATTTGCCCCAACGCCTCTCGGGACGGAATAACCTCAAACTTTTTTGGGGCTTTGGAGGGCTAAGCTCCGAGTATACCAGTCTACCATCACTGCAAGAGCTTGAGGGGTAGGTAGCTAACTCAGCCAAACGCACGCACACAGCGCACGCCTGGCTTCCCGAGGGAAGCTGAGCTGGCGTCCGCCCTGCTGGTGAGGCAGAAAGGTGGTGGCTCAGCACGGTTGGCCTGTTGGGTAGAACAAAAAGGGCCGTAAATCTCCGGGCTCTACATCCAACCCGTTTTCGGGTCGCGGTGGTTGGGAGTGGGGCAGCAGGGTTGGGTGGGAGAGATGATGAGATGCGACGACTAAACCTCATGTTACTTTCCCTGTTCTTTCTAGGGATCCTTCTTTGCCAAAGATTGCCTCCAACCAAGAAAGGAATGGAGGGAAAGGAGTGGGGGAGCAACCAATGCACAAAACATGGGCAGTATACCCCGTGACACGTGGGTCAAATGAGAAGAAGACCTACCCTTTGGTACCAAGCCGGGGACAGCCATGCGGGCCAGGCGAGGCTTGGAAGTGGGATCCCGGTACCTTCCTGCACAAGTGGCTCTGGGTCAGAAAGAGGCACCCAAAATGGCTTGTCCTGATAGGTGGCATGGACCAAAACCAGCGGAAATGGAGAAGGTGCCAGCTTCCCTCGTTGAAAGAAAGGTGCGCAGAGGAGAGCGATTGAATTGCGCCTCCGCGGCAGCTGGAGGAAGCTTTGGTACTCCGTTTGATTGACTGCAACAGCAATTCAGTCTGAGGAACATGGTTAGATCGCCAGGCCACCCGGTTTTACATGTTGCAATGGATCCAACAAGGTACCTTTCTTCGCTCTTAAAAAAACAAAAAAAAAACACTTGAGAGTTGCCAGTCGAGGCATGTTGAGGGGTCCCATTCGTAAGTCTTCAGGTATGCCTTGCCCAGTGAAGCAATGTAACCTGCGATTGCCAACACCCCATTGTTCCTGTTTTCCAGCCAAAATCTCCAAACTTGACTCCAGCTGAGGACAGGTTCACGGGGACATCTCGTGACTTGGATGCAGGTCCCTGCAACTTGTTTGTGCTTTTCAAGTTCCTTCATACCTCCCGGCTTGACAATCATCAGAACCTTGTTCTTGGGGAAACGGTCCCTTTTTTGGGTGTCATCGCAGTTTGCAGGGGATCGGATGATCCGCCCTTGCTGCGGGAAACGGCGGATGAACTTGTTAAACTTGAGGGTGCCACCGTCCAGGGCGCTGGGAGCTGCAAAGACGCCAAAAGAACCATTTCGGCGTCCGGCGAGAAGAAAGGTCTGAAATGGGTACGTAAGGCATAGACTCTTTTCCAGGAAAGTACCAGGGGTACCTACTCAGCGGCATGTGGTTGCGCCCTGAGAGGCTTACCACAAGCAAGGCTGAATTTTGAGAACTCCGAAGCTGACTTTTGCAGTTTGTTGCTGTCGAGCAGTTGTGATTTGTTTGATTTCTCCGGAAAAATATGTCCTTCCTCCCCAAAACACAATATGGGGGGTAACGTCCGCATTCTTTCCAAGGAGCCTTCCTGGAAAAAACAGCCTCCATTTGACCAGGTTGGCAAAAATGGGAAATCAGCGCAGCGATTTCCAAAGGATCACCCTCAGAGTGTGCCATTTTGCCTCGATGACTTGCTTCAGATGCAACGTTTACCAGCGTTACCTCTCTCAAACTGGGAGAGAAATGGAATATGCAAAACCGGTGAGGCCATATTTGACATCAATACGACCTTTGTTCCTCTTTGAAAGATCCGTAGATTCTGGCTTGCTTTCTGGCGGCACGCTTTCTTCGGAAGCCATGGCGGCTTCTTTTGATTGTACATGTTGGAAAAACCAGCGGCAACCCCATCAGTTTGAAGTTCCCTTGAAACCCCAGACGCTTCTAATTCTCAAACTTGGGCAAAGTAGCAGCGGAATCAAATGGGCTACCAAATCCTCTGATTCAAACGGAACCCAAAGCCCAGAGAAAAACCTTTTGGCGAACCCTTGGGCGGCATGAACTGCGAAGTCCTCTCGCATTCTCCCCCGAAAGTCAACTAGTGGCCCGCGACTTCACACGTCCCTTGCACTGTCTCTTTGCTCGCCCGGGTGTCTCGATATTTCCGCACCAACAGTGAGCTGACGGGAAACACGAGCTCACTTAGGATGAGAGGTTTGTAAAATATAGCACCTGGTAGTTAGTGCCGATATGTTCTTGTTTTTGCAGCTGCCTCGAGGGGAAACCAAGTAAGCAGGGTCCTCTAAATAGCCCAAACGTCAACGCCAGCGCCAAACTCCCCCCCCCCCCCCGCCCCTTCCACCCACCCAAAGGCCCTCAAGAGGCATATCTGAGGACTGCTTACAGCTTATTGTCGTCACTTCACGTGCTGCATTTGCCGCAGCAACTGCGCCACTCGCCGGAGACAGGCTCAAGCAACTGGCATGAAACTGGAGAACCATGGTTTGGACCTATACAATCAGCCTTCCATGGTTTGTGGTTCTTCCGCCTTACGGTTCGAATGCGAAATCCGATGGGCAATCAAGTGGAAGGAATGATATTTGCAAGGGTTGGCAATTAAATGCATGCATACAGAATACATGACTAAAATACACATGAAAAATGAATAGACACTCAGCAAACAAATTGATGTAGAGCATATGTCATCAACAAGGGACCTCGTCCCCCTGCAAGAAAACCAACAGGATGATGTTTAAGCAACAGAAGCTCAAACATGTTTAGCCCTACATTGCAGTCAATCCTTTGGTCTTGCTCCCCAGCCTTTCGATCTAGCCTGACCGAGCAACTTCCAGATCTACCTATATGCGATGTGTGTTGTTTAATCATTTGTTGGGGGGGAGGGGGTTAATCATCACATCAATGTGAAGTGCGCTTTCTTCAGGACGGATGACGCCCAATCTTAGAACCTAGAGGTTTGGCGCTTGGCGGGAGTTCTTATTGGAGTTGTGAACTTCACAACTGGAGTTGCATGCATTCTTGGATTATTTGGGGTTGTTGCCACTTCCTGTTTATCAACAAAGGCTTCTGCTACTGGACACTGGGTTTGCGTTACTGAGTTATACCAGATACAGCCAAAACGATGGTAGCGGGCTTGTCCTGCCTCGACTTTCCTGGCCAGCCAAAGGCCTTTCGGAGGGGCCAAAAGCTATGACAGCCTCCGCCCGGCGCGCCTGCTAGCGCGGCGCGCGAAGAAAAAGCTGCGGCGGATGCTGGCGCTGTGTCCGCCACCTTGGGCCAACGACTGCGTGATGCAGCAGCTGCCGGACGTCATCGCCGCTCGGGTCTCTCGGGTCTCTCGGGTCTCTCGGGTCCAGGGCAGGGTCGCTGAACCAGGCTTCGAGCTGTGCTCTTAGCTGACCGTTGAAACCATCAGATATTTTTGTTGGCCCTCGACATGGCCACATCTTGAGGGTTTCTCAAGTCATTTGGGGTGTGAAGAACCCTGTTAACTACCACTTGGGCAATTTTGGAGGATGCCATTGAACAGGTATGCCGCTGCCAACCATGTTGAGGCTCCGGGAATGCAGGCAAACAGCGAGGAGCGTTTACTTGACGCTTGTTCCACTATCCTCCCAACTCTCTCTCTCTCTCTCTCTCTCTCTCTCTCTTATCACTGCACTACGCAGGGCTGCCGAGCGGCATACATCTCACTTCCGGAGTGAATCGCCACTTCATCTGAACAGAAGAAACCCCTCGCAACTCCTTCAGCATCTTGCAAGCAATCTATTGACGGATGGGCACCACCCACTGGCGTACGAGCACACGCCAATCCGGCATCTCCAGCCAACATGGGCCTTGAATGGGGTCGGGGTTCCATGTTAGTGGACGGGAGGGCACCATGTTAGGGCCACGGATAGGTGTTAAACCTCTTCGACACCGGGTGAACAAAAACGGTCGGCTCACTTTAAACGAGCCCTTGGTGACGTTTGATTCCCCAACCAGAAACTGCAAGGGCGCCGTACTTGCATGTTACTTCTGCAGGGGCATACGCAGGGTTGGTTGTGTAGGGGCCATCCACGGTTTCCGGCAACCCATTCTAATGTATGACTTCGGTCAAGGATCTATGCTTCAGGTGCTGGTGCTGAGTTGGCAGTATGTTGCAAGAGCCGTGAAGATCTGTCTGGTCCTACTTGTCTCTAAAGACCAACTTGACATACTCCACCTATAGGCCTTATATAGGGATGGATTTTGGAGTATGTACCCTGTACCAGGGACCCATTACCCATGTCGGGGGATGTTTTCGGGAATTGACTCATGTCGAAGAGAACTTCCGAGGAGGTGTTCCGGGACCACATCTTTCCGCTCAGCCTCATGGTGACTTTGGTTGCAGATGCACGTTCATGCCTTGGGCACTCAATGTCATTTTCCCTGCGTCAAAAGGGGATAGGTATGCTTGAGGCTTCTCCTGTCCGATTTGACATGGGCGCTTCTTTTGATTCCGGAGGTAGGGGTCAACCCATTACCTCTGGCTTCCGCAAAAACAACATCTTAACTCTCGAGTTGAAAACGTTCAAGGTGTTTGTCGACGGGGTTCTTCATTTTACCGTCGGCCAAACAGCTTAGCCACCTTTCTGGCCAACCAGCATTTTCAGCCAGCAGTTTGGCAGCATGTGTTATCCAGCATTTAGCCGGCTTTTTGCTTGTCCACTCAGCATGTATTACATGGCCATGGCTGTGTGGCCATGGCCACCTTGTCCTGGCGGGGCGTGCGGAAGATCAGCCGTGTCAGCCGTCGTTCAAAATCAATGCGTAAGCTCCGTCGTGCCACACGGGTTTCTTGGTTTCGGTGTACGGGCTACGGAACATCGGAGGGCTCCAACCCAGGTTCAACAACCTCCAACGCCAAGAAATCGGCAGCCAACCTCCTTTCCACACTATCCATTTTAGATCGGGCAATAGATTTCTAAAAATCAAACTTCAGTTCTCCAGTCCCTCCCAAGGAAGCTGTTTTTGGAGATTACCTTTGAAATCATTGGATATTCTTTCGGCTCAAGGTGTCCCTGTATTTCCTCCTTCAGCATCACTCCATTAAAAGGAAACTCACTTAAAATGACCCCGAAAGCTGATGTGTAATGCCACTAAAAGGGAAGATCTGGGGAACCTCGTTCGACTTCTTATTTTGCCTGGCCGCCCGTGTGAAGATGCCTACGAGCTCAGGTGACCCTGCGGCTCTACCAGTGCCTTGCCCATTCAAGTTGCTCCGGAGGGTTAAGAGCCTTAAGGCCAACGACAATAGCTGCCAAATGAGTCCAAACAACAGGGAAGGTCTTGGGGGTGGATTGCTTGTTCGCCAAACTGGTAAAAAATATGGATTATATTTGTTCTTGGTGACCGTTTTGTGGGTCAGCGCTTTATGCAGGGGGGCCTGTGAATTTCAGAGAATTCGGTGTGCCCGATTTCAACTCGCGCTGACCTTGAGGGTAAAGGTGTGCAGAACTCAGCGCGGCCCGCTGGTCTTCACCGCTCGTCTAGCCGACCGCCTAGACACAAGCAAGATAGTGGGAATGAAATGGGCTGGATCCCTCTTGCTACCAAGTAACACAGCCAACCTGGAACCTGATTGGGCTCCCGGAACTGACTGAAAGCTGACACGATTGGCAAAGAGTTTTCCGACCTGCCTCCTTCTTGTTCAACATTAAGCGAGTGCTGTCGTTCTTCAGTGGTGGCTGCTTGGAGCTTCAAAACAAACCATGTCATTGAAAGCTAGAACTCTCCCTGAATTCCTGGACTCTAGTCACTTTTTTGGGTTTGGACCATTTTAGTGGTAGATGTAAAGGTTCAGACGTTTTTGCATATCCTCTCAAGAAGTCAGCGAGTCCTCTAAATTGTGACATTGGAAGCCCGAGTCCTCGAGACCTCGGTCGGGCCCAACCGCCTGTGGCCTTCCAGGTGCACCTCAAACGCTTCTTGGTAGAAGGTTAATACCAATGATGAGGTGAATGCCAAGATGGTGCAACCACGGCTGCTTCGTGTTTTGAAGCATCACGTTGTGGCCTGGGCTATATTTGCATGGTCAGTTGCCCTTTGTTGGCGATGATTCAAGGTTTGGATTTGGACTTGTTGTGCTGGTGGGCGCGCCATTCAATGGTGTCACTGAGCAACTGCATGTTTATATACACATAACATATATATAGAGACATGTATGTATTTGCATTGGTATATGCACATATGTATGTGATATATCTGCATTATATATTTATATATATATAGCTCTCCCAAGCCTATGCATGAGGACATGGATGAATGTATATGGTCAACATAATGTCACAAAAAAGCTATGTCCCTGTACACCATTATTGACATCATATGTATATACACATTGTGCATGCATTTCCTGTCCTTTGCAAGTCAGTTTCTCCATTACGGCACGCCGAGCTGAGGTCCGTCTTCCGTGGCCCGGACTCGAAGCCGTGGGACGTCTACACTACTCAGGGAAGGCTCCGTGTTCAGTGACATGCTCTAATTGTTGTAGGCCGTTTTAGGGCGTCTCTAATTGTAGGGCGTTTCTTTGACCGTGTCCTCTGGATTCATCCAAAGACAGTATGGCATTTGGTTGGACCTCATCCATGGACATTCGTGCGAAGGGGCGCATCGCTCCCAGTTTCTGCTGGGCTTTCCCCATCTGGCCTTTAGACACTCTTTTGGAAGATGATGTTTGGTTAATTGTTAAGTTTTTAACAAGTCTGAACTGTGATTGATCAACCCACTCGGGAGTTGCATGCGCAGGAGGCACTATGATTCAGGCTTTGTTGCAACACCCCCTTCCATTTAAAGATAACTAAGCGAGTTTGCACCGGTGCAAACAAGGAGTTGGTCCACTCCTGCTGAATACCCTACCCTAAAGCATGAGCCAATTTGACACAAATTGTGTTTTGCGGGTTGTTGTTGTTGTTGTTTTTTTTTTTTTTTTTGGGGGGGGGGGTTACACTCGCATAGAAACACGTATACGTGTGTGTGTATATACATATATATTATACACGGCATGGATCTTGATATACAATTGAATCTGTATTTGACACACTTATATCTATCGAGCCCTGTTGTGTCACTTGTGTGACTACTTTCTAGACGACGACAAAGGGACCACCGTGACACTGACGGCTTGTGGAAATTGGGGTTCGCAGGGGCGAATCATTTGTGCAAGATCCTGGTGCGGAAAACCGGATTAGTTGCAATTGTTCTGGGGTGGGGTTCCTACTGTTGCATTCAAACAAAAGCATCGCAATAAATCAATCATGTTTTTTTAAAAGCTGGGACAGCTTTGCTGACAGTCACAGGGGAATGAGTGGGCTCATGTATATGCTGCGGGCCTTGGGTGTGCAAGCATTGACGTGTTGAAAAACGGTGCCAGCGACTTCACTGTTCAAGTGGGTGTTTTTGTTGCTTGCTTCTTCGGTTCGTTGATTCGACCGGGGGCCATGAAGAACAATACGTTTTGCCAAAGGCGTCCGAAGGGTGAAGGCAAGTTTTACTCGGGCTGTTGTTGGGAACCATTAGGTGAACACGCCCTCGAAAGAAGTTAGCAGCTTAAATGTTCAGACATTGCTAGCTGATACGGTAAGTCTTGTTTACCTTGTCTAAATGACAGTAGCAGATAGTTTCATCCAAGCATTGGGGCTGAGATTGCAGAAACACAATTGTGTTTGGATGCAGCTGAGTACAAGACTCTGACAGCCGTTGATTGACGGCGGGGTGTTTCATTTGAGGTAATGTCCTTCACTTGTTCGGAGAAAACACCAACGCATCATCCATCCGCTAGATCGCCCAAAGGCCCAATTTCAGGATTGCGGGCCGAGGGAAGCTGAAGATGTTCGACCTGGGTTTGTGCCTTTTTGAGGGTACCCCATTCTTCGACACATACCTTAATCTGTTCAACCATCGTTCTTGTGAAAGCCACGGGTCTTGGCTTGTGTGGTTTCTGGGAGAAAGGCTCCATGCAGAGAGCAACTCCCAACCAAAAAGAGGATTTCCCGCATTGCCAGACGTAGCTAGGCTTGCTCGACTTTCGCCCATGTTTCACTTCATTCCTCTTACAGCCAGCACTGTCATGTGTTTTTGTCCTGGGACACATGGGCGTATTCCAGACATGACCAGCGCAGCTGGATTTACACGGGGTGATCCCTTTAAATAACAATCCAAATAGCGGCTTCCCTTTTTTTTCGGAACTACGTACCCGACTCCAAGCTTCTTGAGGAACCCCAGGTTGGCCACAAATACCTGACGAGTTGGTCAGGGAGGGTAGCAAGGGACCCTCTAGGCTGAAAGGCTCACGGTTTTTTAATTCAAGCGGTGTTCGTGGGAAGCCTAAGCCAGAACCTGTAAGATTTCCCCGCTGTCCTAAAACAAGGCAGCCCAGAAACCAGAGCAGACTCCATCCACTTCCGGGGGTTCCCCTTGCCCTCAAGCCACATGCCGATCCCACGGCGTCTGTCGTTTTTTATTTTCCCCCTGGGTGCCCCGAACCAAACCGGGCACGCGGCACGCCGATGTCCGCCGGCCGATGTGCGCCGGCGGACTCGGAACTCGGTCCGAGGCTTCGAGTCCAAAGGGCTCCAGTCCTTCCAACGCGCCGCGGAGCACCTGGAGCTGCTGGCGAAGCTGAACTGCCACCTGGGCTACCAGCGCTGCTGGCAGGCCAGCCGGGGCCGATCTCCGGGACGTCGAATGAGTTGGAGGGAGCTCGATCCGAGGCTGAAATACCCCTGGTTTTTAACTTCCATTTGCTGAAATGACTGAATATGTTGTAATTGTCCCATGTTGGTTTTAAAGAGGATCTATGCCTACTGCTTTTTTTAGGGGACTTAAGCAAATGGAGGTTGGCACCGGGCTCTCAAAATGGCGTCGACGTCCCAGGGTCGCCGGCTCGCTTGGCGCCGCGGCGTGGGGGCTTTGTGCCGGGCGCTGGGCAAGCTGCGCGCGGACAGCAGCCTGAAGCTGCCCGGCCACCGTCCAGCGGACTGGTCACACCTTTGCCCACGAGCTTGGCATTTTGGGGGGCGAAAACGAGCGCAGAAAATCGGGGCCCTTTGCTTGGGGATCCCTCAGTTAAGCGTTTGGACATGGGAATGACGGAAAGACATGGTTTTGCTCTTGGTTTCCCTTTTGCCTCAAAAAGCTCCCTGCCCCGCCTGCCCCCCACTTCCACCAAGCCGCAGTCTGAGGTTGGACCGCGGGACTCCGCGGCTTTGTGCTAGGTTGATGCAGGTGCGGAAGGTCCGGTTCTGTTGGGATGGGATGTTGACCAACCACTTGGGAAGGTACTCCTTGTGTTCTTGTTAATGGGCAGTCGACGCTGTGGACAATTACATGTTCCATTCCTACAGGGTTCCTTTGCCCCTTGGTACCTTCTAAGGAGGTAATTCTATAGACCCTTTTCTACACCAAGAAGGTACAAGTAAACAGTCAACCATTCATGACTTCCAATGAATGAGTGGGAAACAAGCCAGCAGTAAATCCATTTTTCAGGCAAGCGGTCTCCTTTCCTTTGTTCAGAGAAGCCGCCCAGACAAGATGTTGGCGTACTGTTCTCCTCCAATCCCATGGCGCCTCCACCTAACTTCCCTATGCAGGGGCTCAGGGAAGCCAACTAGCAGAGATACAGGGGGAACCAGTTGGAGACGGGAGGATTCCGATTCCCGTTTGATGCACCTTGACGAAGTTTATGGGAAATGGCGCCGAGGGAATCCCCCCATAGCCCCGCTCCCTCCGTATCCCTGCTTGTTCGTTTGTCCACAGGGGCCGCAGAAAATAATCAAGATACATTGCCAAAGATACAAGGCTTACCGATTCGGATTCCAGGTGACGTGCTCCTCATCCGCATGCTTCCGTGTATCCCCTTAATGTAGATCTCGGATTCAAGCACGTCCCGCAGAAAGCACTACAGACCAGTTAGAGGAGTATCGTTTCGGCTCAGGCCCATTTTTGGTGTTCCGTGTGAATGCGCAGGTGCCTGTGCAATCAGGGGTCAGTGCATTTGGTCAGCCTGGGCGGGTCCGCTGTCACTTCAAGAAGCCATCAGGGGATTCCAGGTCCAGCCCTACATGAGAGCATTTATCCGGGAATTGGCGGAGCCGGTGCCGTCTGAACGTGGCTGGAGATGGCTGGGGAGAATTTCGACCATTTGCCACTGCTAACATGTATACCGTGCTTAGCATGTTCGCCGCAATTGCATATTTCTTTGCAAGGAGTAAGGAATCGCCAGCGAGATAGCATGAAACGCAGTCTCCAAGCACCGGAGCTTGCTGGACTTCATTGAAGGCCAATCCAGAAACTATTCCTCCTGTAGCCTGCGTTTTGAAAGAGCACTTTCTTTATTGAGGCCTTGGGGTCACACCCCAGGATCTAAGGGTTGGCTCCACATTCTCTTCACCCATGGTTCTCTTCAGAACTTGAGGTGCCAGACACATGGAACCCTGGAAAACACGGATTACTAAGGTTTTTCCCCAGTCAAAAGGAAAGCATATCACAGTCAGGAATCCTAAAAAGGTGTCTGCTACCTCCAATCCGCTGCTTTGTGCGAGTTGGGTCCCGTTTTGTTTTTCTTTGGGTTTGGGGCACCTTGGCATTGGCGAGGAGCGGGGTGTGAAGCGAGCTTCAGAGCTGGAGCTGCTCTTGGGCCTCATGGAGGGTGTGCAGGTGGGGGGCGGGACTCGGTTTCGAGGGGTGGCCCGCTCATTGCCATGGGGGGGGGGGGGGGGGGTTGGTTTGCACGTAGTTCGTCTAAAGGCCCAAAGTAGTTCATTCAAATCACGAGCTGGGGACATGTTTGGGTGCAGCTCCTTTGAACTTTGGCTGGTCTTCTGACTTAAGACAAAACACTTGTTGAACTTTTTCAACATTCCGTTTTAGCATATCCCAGAACCTGTAATGGCAACCCCGATTAACAACCCCCTGGTTGAGAGTCCCCTGTTAGTGCTTGTAAATTTGGGAGGGAACACCCCACTATCACTAGATCAATCAACATCAGGAAAGGAATCATCATGGAAAGGGTGGGGAAGGGTCAAACAGCATTTTGGCGTTTCTGAAGCAGCGATGCGTCGTTTTTCATTGCAGGTACCTTCCCTTGGAATATGGCAACCAAATTTGGGGCGTTTCTGAAGACAATCTCCGAAGAACTTTTTGGACGGCTTGCAAAGAGCCAGAAGATTGGCGGTCAGACATGGTGCTCCAAATGGTGCACCTTTTTTTTGGTTTTAAAGGGAGGCCGGAAATAAAGCGGCACTTTTTGAGAGACATGCGCCCAGCCAGCCCAAACTCAGAGGTCCTTGCGGCACTGCTGCCGGCGCAAAGTTTGCCGGAGTTCACTTCGGGGCTGGGAACTGAGGTGCCGGGCCTCTTCAGGCCCACGCACTTCCCCCTTCGAGGGGGAAACCATCTGAAACCATCTTGATGTTTGCTTTGAGAGCCTGGACTTGGGTCTCTTTTTGGGAGCTCATTAGGTTTGTTTCTTCTTCCTTTTTTTTTTGGGGGGGGGGAATCCGGTTTTAGGTTTTGAGTCTTGAGTTTGCAACATAGTAAGTAGTGCAAATGTCCATGCCAGGGTCCTCTTGCTCCTTCCTTGTCGCTGATTGAGGCTTATGTAACTCATGCATGATTGCCCGAGCCTAAGGATACCAGGGTTAAAGTACGGGAGTGCTGTACATGCGCTGCCAGGGGTCGCCCCGATTTATTTGCAGCCCTTCCTCCAATCACAAGGACTGCTTTTTGCACTCGAGCCCTTGAAGGCACTTGTCTATCAGGGTTGTCGCCTTAGGGGCAAGCAAACTCAAGTTTGCAAACTCAAGTTTGCATAGACTGGTTCCAGAACCCCTGCCATGTTTCCACAATTGACATTTTGATCTCGGCTGGTCTACTTCAGACAGGCCATATAATAAGAAGCTAGATAGTTGAAGGCTAGTAGGGGACGGTCCCCTCGCCTTGACTTGGTGCGGCATGGATCCCTTTTGCTGCATTTGATCACCTTGATTCTCCACAAAAAGGTATCCGGCTTCTTGTTTTACCACCCTTTGATAATTGCCTGGTTGGCCACATTGCTTTTTTGGACAAGGGTCATGCCCTTAGCATCTAGTCAGACCTCCTCTTTGTGTGCTTATCTTTTTTTCTAAGGTCGTTGCACTTATCCAGTGTCAGGCCTTTGGTCTCTTTCCGGGAAGGTCATTTGCGGGGTGTCTTTGTGTGGGTACCCCTTTTGGGTTTGAGTGCAAAAGGAATCCAACTGATTTGTGGGCCCCCATTGTAAGACACACGCATTGTGGTAAACCATCTCGGTACTTCCTCTGACCAATCCACTGGGCCTACCATGTTCGAGGTGGCTGAGTTTCACTTCTATCGTTTTGGGTGTCTCAATTTGGAATACAAGAAAAACACCTGTAGGATTTCGAGGCTTTTTTCAACTTGTAATTTCCGTGGGAACGGAAGAACCACATCATGAAGAAAAACACATTCAATAAAGCCAGCCTCTTTGTCTGAAGCATTCTAGTAAAGATGCCTGTCACCACTCCCCTTTGCTCACAAGCCAGGGGTCTTCTTTGGGATTTGCAAAGTCAAGGTCCATCCGAGAAGCCCAGCTCCAACATGGGGCCGACTGCCAAGAAGCATTGGAAGCCTTAGAGCTCGACAAGAGGAAGCTCGGCACGTTCAAGTCCCCAAACCACCAATCCGAACCACCAACTAGGGGGGAGGTGATTTTAGGTTGATTCACCGTTTGACTAGGGTGCCCTGGTTTGATACGTGCCCATTTCGGCGCCAGTTGAGCATTGCCGTTTATCCTCCCATCGAAGGTGGAACCTGACCGGTCAGCATGTCATTAAGGTCAAGTCTGGGGTCCGAGTGCCGAAGCTTTTTTTGCTCTTCTGCCCTTCCCCCTTGAACCGCAAAACGGTACAATCTTGCTGGGGTCTGGGTCAACATTTGCTAGCAGCTGACTTGGTCCCTGATTGCACTCTGTTGCCCAGTTGTTCAGTGGATTCGGACATCCTCTGAGTTTTCTTTAATGTTGGGTGGATTCCGCGCCAACCAAGTCTTATGTCTCTTGGGCATCCCTCAAGGTCCATGAACGTCTGGAGTTGAAGGAGTTGAACCTATCCTGTGTCAACGGATTGTCGGGCATACTGAGACTCCTTGGAGAGCTCCAAAGTGCGGAACGCATGAATCGCCGACAACAAGAGTGCCCTTTTTGTATCAGGGTTGCTGGACAATGTGCTTTGTGCTTGCTGACATGGTGCAGCATATGGCTAATCAAGTTAGAGGATTGAAAGTGAAACAGAGAAACACTTCGTAGTCTGCTTTGGCCGCATTTCAAGGCTCATGAAGCGTCCTGAAACCCTATGAAGATCAGAATCCGGGGGAGGCAGCTACCCTTTGGTGACTCTTTTTGGCCAATCCACTCAGGAAGAGTGAGTGTTAGATGAAAATCTGTGAATTCTGGGATAAACTTACCAACTCCTTTCCGACAAACCAGACCCAGCGGAAAAAACCGAACAGGCGAGCCCTGGCGGAGCTGCCGAATCTTCTCGCGGTGCCGCGCGCCACCGAGCTGCTGATGCGCCGCGCCTCGGAGTCCTCGCTCTCTCGAGACGTCGCGGGTGTTTTTCGGGGTGTCCTCCAGTTCCCTTAGCCGCCTTGGCTCCAAAAGTTGCAGTTTCAATGGAAACCATTGATCAACTTTAGGGGAACTCCGGTGACCCCTGGTTTTGACCAAAACAGAGAGCCACTTGAATGTCGGGTTCGACCTTTTTGCGCTTGAACAAACCACAACTTTACCAAAGCAACAGGGGATGTGTTTGGTTGCTTCAAGTTTGCCAGGGCCACCTTGAAGTTTCCTAGTCCCTTGGGCCAGTAGTTCTCCAGGTTCTCTTTCCATTGGACCCGCGACTGGGAAGGGATGCGGCGGCAAAGGTGGATCCAACCTCTTTCCCAAGTCTTCGGGCTGTGTGCTTCTTGGGAAGGCCAGAGCCAGGTTTTTTTGGTAAACAGCTGAAAACACAGGTTGTTTGATTCTGACCAGCTTTGTTTCAGGTTTTGGTAGCCCAAGGTGTATAATATATATATATATATATATAAATAGATTGTACACTGTTTTTTTCCCGAGGGTTCCAACTGTTGTTTCCCTATGGCTTCTCATACCTGCTTACATTTCTGTTTGATGTTTGCTTGCCAGATGACCTGCTGACTGCAATGAACACATGTGTCATGTTCAGGTCTCCTTAAGGATGCCGACAAGGGACACATTTCATGTTTACGCTGTCAGGCTCCCAGATGTGGCATCGCCGCCCAAAAAAGATGTCCCTTTTCCACCAGGGTCAGTAAATCTGGAAGACCGGTTCATTCCCGCATTTCAAACAAACGATTCAATGGTAAACCAACAGTTTAGCTTTTGTTCGGTCAATCCACTCAATCAGAACTGAGTCACTGAAACACCAAGCGAGGCACCAATTCACTTAGGAATCGGGGCGGTAGTTTGATGTTTCTCCGACATAGGGACCCGCCATGTTGTCCAACTGGATTGAGGCACGCAGCTAAAATGGAATCGACCTGCGCCACCGCGAATGAGGAGACCCTGCTTTTTCGACCCCCGACCTTTGCCCCCAGAATCCCAGTGGGTAAACTCGAGGTCAGGCAAAACCATCGTTTTCGGGATGGACCAAACCGGAGCCAACCACAAAAGACGCACAATCCCATGGGTTCACTCGAGGTCAGGCAAAACGATCAGCTTCGGGATAGACAAAGCCGGAGCCAAACACAAATGAAAACCCACAGCAAGGAGCCACGAGCAACAAAAACAAACAACAACAAGCGAGCAACGTTAAACAGCTTGGGGATGGGCAAAACCGGAGCCAAACACCGAAAAACAAAGCCGAGCGAGGCACCTTGGGATTGCTGGAGCGCCTGGACCGCTTCGCGCACAGCTTCCCCGGGGAGGTGCGCTCGATGCCCTTCGAGCTGCTCTACCCCGCCAGGTGGGAGAAACGAGACAAGACGAGATGCTTTTCTAGTACCCCCTCTTCAATCGCCAGCTTGAGAACTCCTCCATTCGGATCAGTGCAGTGCAAGAACGGGAAAGCAAAGTTGTCTAGGTCCCCAGCTAGGTGCCCTTTCTTACCGTTTCTTTTTTGGTTGGGACACTGAACACTTGTTTTCTGGGGTTTGGGACTGTGTAGCTAGCACATGCCAACCATAAGCAGAGATTTCTTAGCACTAGTAAGCTGAGAAGGCAACAGTTCTGAAATGACACGATCCTTGCTCTTGTATCCATTTGGTTCGCGCCTGCCCATTCGCCGTTGCCAGACCTTACCCTGCTCAGCTTGTCCCAGGTTAGATTTTTCAATGGGCCTTCTGGTGGGTTCCATGCTGGGAGATGAGTGCAAAAAGTCCATTGAGGTAAGCCAGGGCTCCTCATACATGTCCCGTGGGTGATTCAGCATCACTTTTGGGTTGTCAAGGTGATTCAAAGTCCTTGGGTCATATTTGAAGAGCTGTTCAAGCCTGGTACACAGGCAAAAGGCGCACCTTCGGGATCGGACAACAAACATGAACAACTCGCCCTTTTTGGGCTGGAATTTGGGCAGATGCATGAAGAAGCGATTTCGCCTTCTTCTTCTTTTGGGGGGAGGGGGGGTTTGGAAACTTGGAAGGTGCATGTCGAGGCGATTTTAGGTGCTCCCTTGATTTCCAACCGATCAGGGGAGCGGTGAAATGGGCTTTTCCCTGGCCGGATGGCGGATCTGACCGCTTGACGTGGTGGAAGTCCTTGCATTTGTGGTACGTGGGATGTTCATGCGACCAGACCAAGGAGCCCTCGTGAAAGTCGCATTGATGAGGCTAAGTGAGCCAGTCAGAAGATTCCCATCTCCACAAGTTGATGTCACTTTGCTGGGGGAGGGGGCGGGGGGGGTGTTAGAAGTTGCTGACCATGTTTGGGGTCTCCTCCAGAAGTCATCAAGACAAACAAGGTAGACGAATTAGAAAGGAAACCGAGCCTGGCAAGCTTATTTGCTGTACTCCAGATGGGCCAAGTTTCGAGCGTCCTGGAAACAATCAGGGGCCTGTCAAAGCCAGGGGATCCCCAAGCGGGGTCCAATAGGTAAACCTCGGTCAAAGCCCCTTGGGTAAACCCTGGTGAAAGGCCCTTAGATCTTTTGATATGTTTTGGAACCAAATGGCTTTTCCATTAAACATACGAAAAGCGGTCGACCTGTTGCTCCGGGGGTTTGGAGCAACCCAGAAACTGCTCTAGGGGTTGACTCCCCATTCTTTCAACCATTCGTTATTTTGCCTTTTTCCCTGATTTTCTGGGGTTTTCTGGAAAGAAGGATCCTTGGGCAGAATGGGAAATGGAAGGTACCCCTAGAACTGCCTTCTTCTTGCAGCGACGGCATGTCCGCCACGTCGCCAGGCTGTCACCTGACGGAGTATGCCACGCCCAGCGCCTTCCCTCCATTCTGCCGCCAGAGCAGCGCTGGTTCCGCCCGGCACTAAGGAATCTTCGCCCTTCTGGCTCTTAGTTGTTCAGTGGCACCCTTTTTCCCCTTTTGGTGGCTGCCCCACTCAAAATGGTCTTCCCCAAAAAGGGCTCCCTTATTTTTCTCCAGTCAACTGCCTAATAAAAAACGGGGCCGTGAAAAAGTCCCAAGTTCGGGGTGGTTGAACTTGCGCCATCGGGGAAAGAGATGAGCGCAGTTGGCCCATCACACCGGGCCTGACCAAGCTCGGAGGTGTCTTTGGGGGGGGGGGCCTGGAGCAGTTCTGCGCCACTTGAATTATAGCGAACCTGCGGGCAACGCGAGACAAGGAGAGAGAGACAATGTAAGATGATAGTTTCTTTCTGAGGGATTCCCTATCCCCTGCTCGAGTTTGGTGATTTTTGTTTCGTTCTCCCAGATAGCTGGGACAGCCATGTTTTGTTGATGGTTGGAGAACCCTGAAAACTAGTTGGACCTGAATCCCCGTGCCAACATGCCCCACTGACTTCTGAACAATCCAGCTTTAGGAATCTTGATTGGAAGCCGATCAGAGCTGCTGTGAATAAAGTAGCAGGTTCACTTGCCACAAAGGCAAGTTCACAACTTCGACTTGCCGGCTTTCGCATAACCATAATTGTCGTAACGTTTTGACCAAAAGCAATCTTTGTCGCTGACACACGGGTGGTTGGAAACAAAAGGAACAAACAACAAAGGAAAGGAAGCTCAAGAAAGTTTCCGATACAATTGACTCTGGCGGGGGCTTTTCGCTTTTCCCTGGAACACAGGGAGCCAGATCATCCTTTGTTTCAGTATTTTGCCTTCCCAAAAGTTAACAGAAGCACCGGCAAAAACGGCCTGACCATGTGCAGGGTGCTCGCTGGTGCAGACTGAAGCTCTTTACCTTTTCAAGCTGGGGCGAAGAGCACTCACAAAGCAAAGTAGCTCTAGCCTGAATCGAGTGCAGCCATGCACCCTCCCTCCACCCCACTCTGCTCCAACTCCTTATTCGCAACAATTCTCAGCTCCGACTTGTGCTTTAAACCTACTTGAACTTGGACCCCTACCTTGCAGTTTGGAAAAGGGATGTTTTCTGGAATTGCCTGGTTCTGCATTTTAGAAAGGGGCTAGAACAATAGTCCTTGCATTTCATCGGCTGAAGTGCAGTGTACTGACTGACATGCAGACTTATGCCGTGGATGGACAAAATTTCACCCCACTTGGGATGGATGAAGTTTCAAGGAGACAACCACCAATCCCAACTGCTTCCGATTTCCTGTGGATTCGTAGTCCCGAGTCCTTCAGGCAGCAACGTTGACGGCACCCGGTACTACGGTCCCTGGCCCTCTGTCGGGGAGCTCTTGCTGCGGTATGCGGCAGCCGGCGGCAGCCTCAGCCGATGGGCCGGGGACCTCAGAGCCTCACAGTCAGACGAAGGCGGTGGTCTGGGCAGGGCTCCTTAAAAGATACATGTTGCCCACTTGAAACATGACTTTTTCCACCAAGATAAGGGGAAACCACTATTGACAAGGCAATGCTCAGGTGTATAATGTAAGGATCCCTGCTGGGTTTTCCAAATTTTTCCGGTATACAGCTAGCGTGATAAAGCTAAATGGTGAGTATGATTGTCACCTAGTATGCATGGTAAGCTAGTATTTTTCTGGTCTTGTGACCTAGTGTTTTCCATTCGTATAAAGACTCCCGTATACTATTTGACCATAACTAAGCTAGACCTAGCTTATATTATTTTCCAGTCTAAAGCTACCCCCTGGCGGTAGTAGTCTTAGACTACTTGACAATTTTTCCGATTCACCTAGTACAAAACGAAAACATATTCTGTCATTGAAGGGGTAAGATATGTCTAGTTCTTCGGAGCCGAATACCAGACCAATGGGCCTCTTTTTTCCTTGACCTTTTCAAAGGGGTGACTGCCCTGGGATATGAACCCCTGGGAAACCAGCCCGGAACACCACAGTCAACCACTGGCATCAGTATGGTCAGCTGTGCCTTTGTCAGCATTCAGAAAAGGCTTTTCTTACTGTGCCAACGTGCGATTCCGGGAGGCTATCAAGCTAATCTTGGTGTTCAATTCAGGTGGTCCTTTGTTCCCGTCTTTACCGCCCGCATGCACATGGGTCCTATGAATCGTTGATACATAAGTTTGTCTTCTGACCCCCTTCGCAGGAAACTCCATGGAAGGCCGGTCCCACATGTTCAACCATACAAGGAAAAGGCAAAACGTGGATCTAGTTCTTTAGCTAGTTCCTGAATCACAAGGCTCAACCAGGTGCCCCGGTGTGATATTTGTTCTACGGTTGGTCCCCCGGTTCAATGTTTAGTCTTGTTCAGTTGGGGCAGGGAAACCTCAGTGACACGTAAGTTTCTTGGTACTTGTCAAGGCTCCCGTCGCTCAAAAGCCCCGAGATCCGCTTGCTTCAGGTTCCCTCTGATTGGTGGCTTGGGATCCTCAAAACCACCGAACCGCCACTCCAAGCCAGCAGTTGGAGGGAAGCTGATTGATCGTTCCATTGGTCCTTTTGATGGTTCAACCTCTGAATCCGTGTCCTGGGTGTGTCTTTTTGAAGCTACCCTTGTCGCCTTTCGGGGTGTTTCCAAATCCCCAATCCGCAGATGCTCCCAGGTCTTAAATCTGGGCTCCGGAGACGGCGGCTGTGTCCGAGGAAAGCGGGGCTCGGCATTTATTCCCTGCTGGTGCCGGGTTTGCCTCGAAGAAATCTATGTAGCACCCTTAACCTGGAAATTCCCAAGGAAGCCATGGTGCACTTTGGATTCACGGAATGACTCCCCTGAGCAGCAAGATTGAACGGACCTATATCCCTGCCTCAGCATGGAATCAGCCAACCCAAAGGAACAAACAACAAAAAAATAGAAACATATTCTACCGAATCACGACTGAGAGAAGCATGATGAAATGGAGGTCACTGGGCATGTGCTGCTCTCGACAGTGTCAGCCGACCAAACCAAACGCCACAGCTCTGCCGTGTCACTGGTTGCAACTAACGAGACCCCTTCAAAGCTGCCAGGCCAGCTGGCCGCCACTGCCAGCCATGAGCTTTGGCAGTCGAAATTTGGCCTTTCCCAGAAAAGAAGGAAGGGGAACTCCAAAATGCGGTTTTTGTGTCCCTTTCGTTTCCCTGAAAAGCAGACGCAAACAGGATAGAAACACCCAAAGTGACTGACGTCGCATCATGCGCCAGGGGATTCTTTGTGGGTGTTTGGAGCGCCCGCGTTCTTGTTTGTGAAAAGTTCAAAGCAAAACACACCTTGATTTCGACAGTTGTCGTTTTGCTTAAAACCTTGGAACGCATCCCATTTGTTTGGAGTTGTATTATTTTTGTTTTGTTAGAAGCATGTAACGTATCCCATTGTCCCCACCCCCTTAAATATGGAGTTGGGGGAGGGGGATGACTGGAATTCTTTTTGGACCCCCACCCCCCCTCCCCCTTATGGTAGGGATCTCCCATTTATAGCCCCTGACGCGTCAGGGGACGAGTACGACCCGGCCAACTGCCTGGCCTTGGAGGGCTTCCGCACCGTGGCCGTGGAGGCGGACGCCGCTTTGGCGGCGCAGGCCGCCGCGCGGCTCGCCGAAGGCGCGGCGAAGGCCCGGGTCAAGGCGGAGGCTGTGGAGCCCCAGACGGTAGGAGCCGGGGGGGGGGGGGGGTAAGAGGGAAGAGTATGTACAATGTGCCGGGGAGAGGTCTGGGCATCAACATCACACTGAGAGCTGGCTTTCAGGCAGATCTTGTATAGGAATTGATTTCATAAAATTGCAAATCTTAGTCTGAGAAATTGGCTTCCAGGGGAATTTGGTAGGAATGAAATTGCAGATATTACAAATTAATTTGTAAGGTAAAGAAAATATTCTCCAAAATAACAAATATTACAAATTTTACAAATTCTAGTCTGAGAAATTAGCTTTCAGGGGAATTTGGTAGGAATTAAATTACAAATTTTACAAATTTTACAAATTTTACAAATTTTACAAATTAATTTGTATCATTTGTAAAATATCAAAAAAATCTGGCCCAAAATTATAAATTTTACAAATTAATTTGTAAAATTTGTAAAATATCAAAAAAATCTGGCCCAAAATTACAAATTTTACAAATTTTACAAATTCTAGTCTGAGAAATTAGCTTCCAGGGGAATTTGGTAGGAATTAAATTACAATTTTTACAAATTTTACAAATTTTACAAATTAATTTGTAAAATTTGTAAAATATCAAAAAAATCTGGCCCAAAATTACAAATTTTACAAATTTTACAAATTAATTTGTAAACATGGTAAAATATCAAAAAAATCTGGCCCAAAATTACAAATTTCAAATTAATTTGTAAAATTTGTAAAATATCAAAAAAATCTGGCCCAAAATTACAAATTTTACAAATTTTACAAATTAATTTGTAAAATTTGTAAAATTTGTAAAATTTGTAATTTAATTCCTACCAAATTCCCCTGGAAGCTAATTTCTCAGACTAGAATTTGTAAAATTTGTAAAATTTGTAATTTTGGGCCATATTTTTTGATATTTTACAATTTTACAAATTAATTTGTAAAATTTGTAATTTTGGGCCAGATTTTTTTGATATTTTACAAATTTTACAAATTAATTTGTAAAATTTGTAAAATTTGTAAAATTTGTAAAATTTGTAAAATTTGTAATTTAATTCCTACCAAATTCCCCTGGAAGCTAATTTCTCAGACTAGAATTTGTAAAATTTGCAAAATTTGTAATTTTGGGCCAGATTTTTTGATATTTTACAAATTTTACAAATTAATTTGTAAAATTTGTAAAATTTGTAATTTTGGGCCAGATTTTTTTTGATATTTTACAAATTTTACAAATTAATTTGTAAAATTTGTAAAATTTGTAAAAATTGTAAAAATTGTAATTTAATTCCTACCAAATTCCCCTGGAAGCTAATTTCTCAGACTAGAATTTGTAAAATTTGTAAAATTTGTAATTTTGGGCCAGATTTTTTTGATATTTTACAAATTTTACAAACTATTTTGTACAATTTGTAAAATTTGTAAAATTTGTAAAATTTGTAATTTAATTCCTACCAAATTCCCCTGGAAGCTAATTTCTCAGACTAGAATTTGTAAAATTTGTAAAATTTGTAATTTTGGGCCATATTTTTTTGATGTTTTACAAATTTTACAAATTAATTTGTAAAATTTGTAAAATTTGTAATTTTGGGCCAGGTTTTTTATATTTCACAAATTTTGCAAATTCATTTGTAAAATCTGGAAATTTCACTTTTTACACATGGACATGCGACATTTTGTGAAATGCTTAATTGTTAACCAAATTTGTTGGAATTTGGCATAGTTCAGAAACTAATCTGCAAAATGTGTAAAACTTGTAAGGTAACTCCAGCCAAATCTCCCCGGAAAGCAAATTCCCCAGAGTACGTTTCAATGTCAGCAAACATCCGATTTAGAATTACAAGCTGGATTTGAACAAACATTGCTCGGGGGTTGCAAATTGCACAAGCTAGTTTGTAAAAAGTCGGTCCAGAATTACACAAATTACAAGTAAAGGTGTGAACATTGTAAACTTGATAAAACTTGATCACCGTCCTTCCCTTAACGGCTTTTTTTGGGTCAAGTTTGTTTCATTTTGAATCGGTTGAAGTTTGGTAAGGAAATGGGGAGGAAAGCATATTATCTTTTCATTTGGAATCTCTCTTTTCTGTTATTTCCATGTGTTTGTTTTTCTTTAGGATCTCGAATTCATACTCCTTTCTTTATCTTTCACTCTCTCCCCTGACCATTTCTTCCTACAATCAACTCAATAAACTAGGATGGAAAAGACAGGGATAAAGAAATAAACATAAGATAGGTAAAGGAGAGAGGACATCTTCTGCAACACGCTTCTTTTGGATAACTTTCATACCACACATACCTGATGGAGAAAGAGATGGAGAAAACCGTACAAATAGAAAGACATGGAAAGGCGACTGGGATTGTGGGATGGATTCATTTGTATCTCAGAGATTTTATCGCATACCAGGTTAGACCAATCGATGAAGGTAAGGGAAAGGGAAAGGTGTGAAAGAACAAAGAATGATTAAGAAAACCTTCCGCCCAGACATCACGCAGAATACACCAGATAGCCTGTCCGTGAGACTTGGAGGATATGATGATTGAAGATTCCCTCACTATCCCTTTCCAGCCTGTCTTTGGGGCCTCTTCCAAATCATTGCCTGCTTCCTCTTGTCCATCCATCCTCATCCTTTATTTGCATTTATGGATGGGCAAGAAGTGACGAAAGCATTTGCAGGCAGTAATAATTACGGTAGAAAACGTAATATCCTCCCTTTCTTTTCAAAATCCTGTTTTATACAAGCTAACAACATAAAAAGGGCGCGAGACAGTTATGACAAAGCTAAAGATAATTATGGGTGGTGCTTACAGAAGCTATCTAATTTATTGCGTGCTAATACATGCGTCTAATCTTAAAACCCATACTTACATTCCTCGTTCTTTTCTATTTTATTCTTCCCTTGTTGAGATTCATTGCGCTATCTTTCTTTGTGAATGCGTTTGGCTGTCCGGTCGTCGCTGGGGCTCACCGAAAGGAAAAAACGATTATGAGTAGGTCTTACTCATATTATTTTGCTTGTGTTTTACTATCTTTTGGACCTTTCATCCTTCCCCTTCTTCTGTTTCCCTTTTCAACCGTTGAAGAATGCCAGAAATCGAGGGGTGAAGGAAGGAGGGAGAAGCTAGCCCCCCCGTTCCTTCTTCTCCAACTGTATCGCTAGTGGGGAGAAGATAGGAAGGAGATCAACCGTTCCATCTTTACCTTTCCCTTCCCCACTACGTTCTGGAGTTCTGTCACTACGAAAGACTCACGATGGAACAGTCTAAAAGTGGGACGAAGGAAGGGGATATTGGCTTTATTTTTGGTTTATTTGTAGAAAAAGAAAGCCACTTTCCACAACCCGCTTCTTTCTGTAAAAAAACAGATGGAAGAAGATGACCTTTCCTTTCCCGGCCCAGCCAACGCTTGTCATTTTCCTTGCCTTGTCTTTTACATTGCCATGTTTTGGAAATGAAGAAGTAAAGCGTCTGGCAAGGAGGTAAGCGCCCATCAATACTAATTGAAGATACCGAATTGGATGGGCACTTACCATGGCTTTCCATCACTTCTTTCTTTCCTTTTGATTAAATTGAAGATTGAAAATGGGAAGTGAGAAGCCTCTCTTGACTTCTTCCTCAAGCACAGGCTGCTGTTAATCTTATGCCGTGTGATGCTTGGGAAGAAGAAGAAGAAGAAGAGAAGATAGGAGAGGGTGAACAGAAGTAACGTGATTCTTTCTTTTCCTCCGATCGCATCCTGATTTTCCCATGTATGTCACCCACCAAAATCTTCAACCCATAAAGATTTGACTACAGAATCCTTAAAACCTTTTTAATAGCAAATGCTAGCGGTCTCTCTCTTTTGCTAATAATCTTCTGGAAATGAAAGGACAATAATAGAGTTTTAGATCATAGGATGGTGTAAGGACTGGGTTCTTCTCATCGTTGACGTCCTTCCTTGTCCAAGTCACGGAGGAAGAGAGGTTGGTTTGTGGTCCCAAGAGCTTGTATCCTTCCCTTTCTATCTCTTCCACTTCATCCAGGAAACATTTGTGGATGGACATGTCGTTATTAAGATCATTGCCTTTCGGTTTACCATCCCATTTATTGCTTGAATGTCTATCTTTGTTGTCTTCCATTTACAATATTATCTGAGAAGTATAGAAATGCTTCTGGGTGTGAGGTTGAAAAAATTGGCGATGTAAAGAAAATCACGATGGTTGGAACAGAAAGTTAATCATTACCAAGAATAGGTTCATAGTCTCTCATCTGCTGGTTGCATTCTCATGTACTTGTTCACTTTGCAACCTTTCTACTTGTTTATCTATCTTCCCAATCTCTCTTTCTCTCTCTCGCATTGTAAACGTTGGAGGCATCTGGATGGGGGAAAAAAACCCGGGGGGTAATAACAAATATGAAGAAGAGGAACTGGCTAACACTCCTTCTGCTCTCCCGTCTTTCGCGGCTGTCAGGATTAGTAAGAATGACGAAAAAGGCCTATGAAGAAACATAATAGATACATAAATAAATAAATCAATAGGCAAATGACAGAACCAAGAACATGAAAGTAATAAAGAATGTTAATAAATGAAACGGTCTATTGGGAGACAAATTATTCTTGTCCATCAAGAACCCTCTCCAACACAGTGAAAAACCTAGAGTGGACAATGATGGATATGATAGAAAACGCAATAAGATAATAAAACGCAGAAAGCTATGAGATTACAACGATTCTGTAATTATTGCCTTTAAATTCACCCCGTGACCACTTCATCCCATTTACACAAATATATTGGAGAAGATATTAGTGCATGATGAAGAATAAACACAAATTATAACCATAGATAGTTTGCTTGACTCTGAAGAGGCTGTTGGTCTTTACTCATGGAGTTTATTTAGTTGTATCTTCTTTCTGCTTTTGTTCTATTAGAATTTCCTTGCAAAATCTCTCACTCACTTCCTATTGTATCATTAGATATGTGCAATATTCTTGAGTTTTAGGTGAGAATGAAAAGGATATTAATAGTTCAGGTTGCTGGAGAAGGACGGAACACTATTTACGAAAGGCTATTTATTTACTAGAATCTCATGAGTAATGTTAACTAATTTGTATCGATTGGGGTTTATTTCTCACCTTCTCTTTTTAAGGGGTTTCCTTTTGCCTCCCTTCATCGCTAGAAGTGACCGAAGGAAGTTAATAGTTTTCTCATCAGAATATTGCCTGTCCAAATAGAGTGATGAATGAAGAGACGCTTAACTGTTATTATTGCTTAAGTGACGTCTCACGGACAGGCTACGTCTCCAGACCCTTTTTATATCTCTCTGATTGTTCTTTCCTTTTATGTTTATTTGACCAGCATTTGTTTACTATTTACTTCTTCCTCACTGACATTCGATCTTCTCTAACTCTGTTATCTGTTACTGTGGCTTTAATCATTTGATTAACATTTTCCCCTTTCCATTCCCATGCTCTATCTTGGTGAGCTAGCAAACGTTTAATTTAGAAAAAATATGGAAGTGATAGATAGGAGGACATCATTATTTGTTTCTATTAATACTACTTCACGAAGGTATACCGTGTGCTTTTATCACACTCTCTCACAACCAAAGAGAGGATGTTCATCTGGTCTTCATCACCCCTCACCCTTTTTTCTATTACTACAAACTAGCTGGTTCTTTCAGGGTGGGGCATGCCAAGACATTCCTTTCTACTCTTGGGATTGCACCAAAAGAGTCCATGTGCAACAATGAGCCGTTCTGCTCTTGAAGGCGCGCGGCGGCACATTGTACGTAATCTTCCCTGCCACGGGGGGGGGGGTTTTTTTGTTTTTTTTGTTTCTCGTTGTTTTTTCTTCTTTTCGTCTCCGTGTGTGTCTTTGTTGTTTCGTCTTTTTTTACGGGTGTTTTCGGGTGTTTTTTTTTGTGTGTGTTTTTGTGCTGTTTCTTCGTGTTTTTTGTTTGTTCGTTTTTTCCGGGTTTTGTTTTTCTGTTTTTGTTTCGGGTTTTGTTTTTCTGGTTTTGTTTTGTTTGTTTTTCCCCCGCCGTTTTTTTTTCCCCCCCTTGGCTGGTTGCTTGGATGGGTTGAATGGGTTTGGTTACCTTGGGTTGTTCGGGCTTTCGGGGTACTTCCATTTGGTTAAGAATATATTTTATCTTTGCACTGTTGATGGGTTTCAGGGTGGCTGGGCTTGAAGGGGTTTGGTTGCTTTGGGTTTCGGGGTTTTTGGGATGGGGTTAAGAATGGGCTTTCTTGGTTGGAGTGGGTTGAAGTATGGATTTGGGGATGGCTTTTGCAAGGGGATCGATTCCCCGGGCTTGAGTTAACGCCTTTCCAACCCTATGACCACTTTGCACATGGTTTTGACTTCGCTCCGTACTGCACCCTGGCAAAGGAGAAACTAGAGGTGCTCAGACGGAGATTTCTGGGTGCGTTTGTTTGCAGGTAGCCCTCAGCAAGGACACTACCCACCAGACACCCTGAATCCCTTGAAGAAAATGCAACAAAAACAAAAAACGGCACTCCGAGCCAGGTTCCATGTCTGTCACTTCAGTGTGATTTTCAACAGAGCAAACCGCCAAATCATTTGGGGCTTTTGGTACCTGAGGCGGGGGGAGTCTGAAGCCGCTCCATGACCCTTTAAAAATGCGGTCATTACCCAAAATAGGGTCGCGGACCCATTTTGAAAGGGTCATGGAGACTCCAGGTAACAGGGGCCGCGCGCGCTTCGATTCGTCGCGCGCAGGAGCCGAGTTGTCGCGTGAGGCTCTGCTGTTGCTGGCGGAAGGGTCCATTCCGCCGGGGGCGGACTGGCTTCACCTGGCGGAAACCGCGCGCGCCTGGGAAGACACCAGTCGTGGCTTCGCTTTTTCGATGCCAGGCGCTCAAAAGCAGCAACAATCGTATTTCTGCAAACATAGGATTCATGGTCGACTCACTCCCCAGAGTGCCTGGATTGTGGCAAACACAAGTTTGAAGCTTTTGCTTGGCCATTTTTATTCAGGAATCATTGACAGATATGGTTATCACAGGGTTTTAGGATTAGTTTCTGCTTCCAAAGGCAATGAATGCCCTGTGGCATGAGAATGTATATAGTCGCGAGAATCAACCACTCTGGCCACTCTGGTATCAACTAAACGGATATGTTCCAAGACCATGTTGATGCACCTTGCATCAATCAACACTCCTGGTTGATCAAGGGACGGCGTTCGGTGGGACACCCAACAACCATTGGTTTTCAAGAGGATAGTCCCTCCTGTTCCATGCGTGCCTGGAAGAGGGGACAGCTCGCATCAATGCTCCAGTGGTGTTTGTTTACTCATCTTAGAGTTGGGCTCCTGTTCCTTCACCCTAGCCCAGAGAAACTTGTTCAGAACCCGTCTGCGTTCTAAAAGTCAAACAACATTTGAACAGTCCACCCTAGCATTCATCTACCAGCTATGAGGCTCCTGAAGTTCCAGGTGTCGCTTTGTTCAGACCCTTCTGCTTTGCTTCGATCAGATCGTAACGCCCCAAGGGGGCCAAATAGTTTAAGGCAGATTGCTCCCATGCGACCCCAAGACCTCAATTGAGATGGCTTACGTAGCAGAACCTCTGGCAACATTGGTTTTTCGGCATGGCTCGACGTCACCAGGACGTCCAGACCTGTTGAAGGTGGACATAGACCACGTGCCTTGCCGCAGAACCCGGCACAGAATGGCAGCGGTTTGCCCCCCAAGGGGTGCCTGGCACTGTGGCAAACCAAGAGCCCCACCTTGAAGTTCACTTCTCAGGATTTGTTTGGATTCCTTTCAAGAAAGGTTAGGTTTTACCCCCTATCACTTTTACTTGTCCTTTCTTTTCTTCGCTTTTTCCTTGCTCGCAACAAGCTTTTGGGGATCTGTCTGGCCCCGACATTCCGGGTGTTGCTTCTGTTTGTGGCTTGGCGTTGCTTTGAACCATCGGGCTTGAATTCGAATCCCAGAAAGATTCCCGGGCCTGTCTTTGGGGCGGCTCAATGCAAAAATTCAACCAAACATCCAGACAGGTGCCCTTTTTCCATGGCCAATTTGGAAGGCAATGCGCCCATTGCTAAGGTAAAGTTGACGTGAATGTTTCCAACTTGGCCAGGCTTTTGCCGGCAACCTGCCTGTGTTTTGAACATGACAAATGGTCCCTAGCTAAATATCACGTTTTGGGCCATAGCTTCCCTTCAGGCGGACTGCGAGGTGTTGGGCGCTTTGCTGCAGGCATGGGGCCCCCAGAAATGGGAGGATATGGACCGCAGGTAGTCTTTGGTTCCATTTACCAAGCCATGTTGGGTACGCATTTTTGACCCATACCCAAATGTCCACAGTGTCCCTGCATTCTCCTCTTGGCCGGTCATTTTTGTTACCTTCCGATGCCTCAAGTAAGGACAACAAGGAGGGAGTCCTGCCCCACCCTGTCCACCCGCAAAAAATGAGGGATAGTCAAAATGTGGATAGTCAAAACAGGTGAGTCTTTCTTGAGGGCAAAAGCTGAGGTAGCCAAAGGACTGCCCCTGTCATGGGGAAGGGCAATGGCTCTTCCGAAATGGCAAGGGTGCATTTTTTGGCATTTCAAGCTGCCAAAAGGCAAATTATCCCACGCGGTCCCGTTGGCCAGATTTCAGGTAGGTACTTTCTGGGGAAGACCATCTTAGTGGTAAACAAAAAGCGTACTTGTTTGTGCCAATCCACTGAGGAAGTGAGTCACTCAGTATGGCCCATACTCAGACATCTTTCAATTTTAGTTGGGGCAACCGCTTGAGGTGGAGCACGTCCTTCCAACTTGCGACCATCTTTTGGACGACACCCACAAAGGGTTCCAAGGCCATGCAGATGGGAGGCCCAAGGCCTGAGGTCTATTGGATGGGCGCCTACTGGGCATCCTGGGTCCCTTTTAGGCGCAAATCCACCCAACAAACACGTACTGTGCGTAGACGAACTCCTGCACCAGTGGCTTATCCCATTCAGAGGGTTTCATGAACATCCCAAGTCCCATATTTCTTGTCCATGTGCGTAAATTGTGTGAGTTTTTAAAGGTCATTTGTCACTACTGGACATAAGCTCCGGTCCACAAACATGCACCACGGAGTCCCAAGGAACACAGTCTTGTAGGACCGCCCTCAGAGGTTCCATGATGGGCAGGAGGGTTATTTGTGTATTTTTTGGGGGGACTCAAGCAAAAGCAGCTGGTTTGGTCCCCAGGGCCGCTGGGTTGAGCAAAGCCATGTGGCAGGTCTTTGAGCCATTGCTGCTGCATGTGGAAATCAACCCGCTCTTCCCCCCGCCCTTCGACGCTCGGCCTGAAGAAAAGACATCCCAACGGGTTTTCTACTTCTTTTGGCTGCATGACTAGATAAGTGGAAATTGGGGACGCCAGCCCCCTCCCCCTTTTGCTACGGGGGAGAGCCATACCTGAAGTCGACAGTGCGTGCTCTCCGAAGCCTGAGCTTTTGAACGCGGATGGTTATTGTTGAGGCTTTCCTCAGGTTGGCCTCTGGTCACTCGTGTTTTCATGGTAGCAGCTACCTGTGCGGCTCCTTTGGCACGTGAATCGTTCGGCAAGGCCTACATGATCAGCAAAATAGTCCTCATGGAGGTCGAGCCATGGAAGATATACGCGCGTAATTCATTGCTATAATTATGTGTTTTTCCGCCTTTTCAGCTGCGTAAATGTAGACTTGCATCTATATACGTTGACTCATGTGTGGTCGCAGATATGTCACGCCGTGATATGTGCTCACCCAAGGACTACCGGGAGCGTTGGAGTGGCAAGGCGCTGCCGTTGGACGCTCAGGTTATGCAGATCGAGGATGCGAGAGGGAGCCCTCTGGGGTTGGAACGGGTCAAAAGAAAGCTGTTTTTAGTTGTCCATTTGTATGGGTGCCCAATGTTTGACCACCAATACTTGAAGCCAATCAGGTTGGGAAGAACACGGCAACCATTTCTTTGGATGTGACTGGCACCATGCTAGCTTCATTGGTTGCAATGACAAAAGGCTCAAATTTTGCAGGGAGTCGCCCACCCCAACCACCTCCCCTCCCCCAGAACTTCCTAAGATCTTATTTCTGGCAAAACAATTGGGGACGAGCGGAAAAGGCCAGCGTAAGGACCGATTGAAACATGTCTGTTTTGAGCGTAAAGCAGCGGGCGTGGGTTCCATTTGTCAAATTGCCACAAGAAAGTGGAATTTACTCACGTACCACTACTTAGTTCTTTCGAGGGCCAAATGACAATCAACCATGACCCACCTCTGGTTTTGCAGTATTCAACTTTCCTTTGCAACAATATACATGTATACATAGGCTTAGATTTAGGAATGTTCCCCGCAAGTGTTTTGGTGCGAGCATGCCTCTGGGCACAATTCAGGCCACTTTCCTTTTTTTCTGCTAAGGAAACCGCGCACCACTTGATCGGTTGCTCCCTCCAAGCAGTGATCCACCAGACAAAGAGACGCTGGGGTGCGCGCGCGGTGCCAGCAACTTGGCTGCCAAACTGTGGCTAGCAAAACAGGAACACTGGGCCAAAGGGCCACCCCCCGGCAAACACAAAGGGTGGTATAGTCAAGGCCGCCGAAAGCCGAAAACGCATGAGTTCCTTGGGACCATAGCAAGCAGACCTTCCACAGGCTTGAGCGTGCCTTTGGGCTGATCTCACTGACATGGTGGATCGATTTTTATTCCGTGACACCGACACGTGTCCCAAAGGCAGGGTAGCTTGGCGTGCACCGTCAAAGAAATGTGCTGAACGAGGATTTGTCAATCACAACTTAAGACATGATGCCTATCTGGAATGCAACATATCGTGTCTGAGCAACAACTCCGGATTTTGCATTTACACAACTGATGTGAGGATGGACGTATGCAACGGTTGCGTTTTGTGGTTGGCCCGAGCATTGGCTGATTGACCTCTCCTTTTTTTTGAGGCCGTGGGACAAATGATTGGTGCAATGCTGCAGGGTTGGTGCGGCCCAATGGCAATTTTAGACAAGGGATTTGAAGGTGTGGAGCTCACAAACCATTGAACACTAAGTATGTATATGCCCATAGATACATACATAATACATACTATGTATATATGTACGCATCTATGCACAAACTTGAATATATATATATATATGGGTCAGGGCTCGTGGCCCCCCCCCCCCCCAACCCAATGGTCATGGTACCCCCCACCCCCCCCCCCCCCTGTGGTGTGGTGCCTGTTATGGGCCCCCCCTCCCCCCCTGTGGTTATGGTTCCCCCCCTCCCCCTCTGTGGTGTGGGGTGTTGGTTTGGAGGGCAAGTCAGGCTTCGTTGAGGGTTGACTGCTGTTGGTTTGGGATGATTCAGTTTGGATTTAAGGATCCTTTGGGGTATCTCAAGCTTACCTTTGAGTTTCGGGCTTGTAGCTCAGGATTTTAGGACATTTCTTAGGGTTATTTAAACTGATTATTAGTTTTTCTTAGGATAGCCGGGGCCGATTTACAGTGGGTTTAGGGATCCTTTGGGGCTTTGCTGGGTTGAGCATGTAGGTTTTTTTTCATTGAAGGCGCAGAGGGTTACACCGAAATTTGGCCCGAAGACACGAAGACACCAAGACACGCATCTTCAGGGCGTCAGGCGAAGACGCGAAGACACGAAGACACGAAGACACGCATCTTCAGGTCTTCAGGGCTTCAAGGCGTCAAGGTTTCAAGGCTGTATTGCTTGCACGCTTTCGGATGTCAGGTGAAGACGCGAAGACGCGAAGACACGAGTCTTCAGGGCTTCAGGGCTTCAGGGCTTCAGCGGCCGCAGCAGGGCTTCAGGGCTTCAAGGCTTCATAGGGGGATTCAAAGCTAAGATGTTTTGCTGCGTCGGGGCTGCGGGAAAACTTGACAGAGATAGCTTGCTATGTTGTTGCATGCTTGCTCCTACTGATGTGTTTTGAGCATCGGTGCGAGAGGAGACGTGGCAAGGACCGTCATGGCTGGCTGGGGCCCAACCCAAAAGCAAAAAGGGCCTATGTGGTTCGTCCGTTGCATTGAAACCACAGGGCTGGCCTCTTGGCTTCCTTGCCAACTCCAACCCCTGTGATGGGGGCAGGGGAGAGGGCAGGCCGGGCTGGACACTGACCCATATATATATATATGTATATTTACACATATTATGTGGACAAATTCATATGTAGTCGGGCATTGCCCGTTCTAGATATTTATACATTTGCACCTCCACTGGTTTCTGAGACCAACTTGTGCCCCGTCAGTGCCATGCCCGCACCATGTGGTCTGAGCCGTCAGGAGGCCTACTGGCTCCACCACGTGGAGTTTGAGAACGCTGTCCTGGTTCATCCAGATGCTGCAGGTGCAAGACTTGCAAGTTGGTTATTTTTGTTGACTCAAGTGGCAGTATTCTGAGAAGTTCTGGATCATTATTTTTGGTGAGTGTCTAACTTTGAGGCTTTCCTGTTTGTTGTTCAGACTGTGGACCCCGTATCTTTAGTGGCTCGTTCAGGGACCTTGTGGTGGGTCCGCCGTCGGTTTTCCACTGCTCGGCTCGCGGGCCGAGGCGTTTTCCGCTTTGCCCCGGCGCCTTCAAGGCAAAGCTCGGAGGAGGTCCAGGACGCGATTGGGCTGCGATGTGGGTCTCTCAAAATTCTAGGGTACCTTCCCCATTCTTCCAGGAATCCTCTAGGGAACCTTCAGAAACCGAGGGAAAAACGGCTGGTGTTGGAAAAGAACGATGGTTGAAAAGAATGGGGAGTCAACCCGTGCAAAAATCCTTGCCTGGTGCAGATGTCCACGTGCCGAGCAAGATGCCAAGGGGCCCGCTTTCCGCCTGCCTTTGCCGTAAGGGTCCTGCTCATGGCAAGTCAAGGGTTTGCTTTTGTTGAAGCGTGCCCTCTACCAGTTGCGGCGGTACCACGGGCCGGCGCGAATTTTGGTGGATGCATGAATGAATGAATGAATGGCGGGGGTGTGCCAATTTAGAGGCACAAAATCGCTTGGTGTCATCCCCGAATCCGGCTTCGGCCCAGGAGCTTTACCTGGCTGGATACTTCTGCCACGTCTTGCGCTCCGTGCACTCTGGCAACCAAGCGATGTGAAGAAATGCGTGTTGTTTATGGACCTGTTCATTGTTACCATGCCAAACGGTCAATGCTCTTCACGGTTCTTTGCAGGTATTTGTCTTTGTTTGTTTGATGGTTCTCTTCATTGTGTAGTGCGGGGCCTCCAACACAAAGCTTTCCTGCGGTACCAACATTTGGAAAGTACATACTGGCAAAGCCGGGTTCGCAGTTGATAGGTGGTTTGCCCCAGTATTCACAAGGCTTCATCCATCCCAACTGATGCAGGGTTTGTCCATCCACAGTACTTGCTGTCATCTACCGTGGGATGAGATTTGGCACTCGCCGAAATATGTTCTTTTTGGACATGGGCTCACCAAAACCCAATATCATTGGGGGTGATTGGCAGGCTGCACAGGGGTTCCTGCCTTTCTCTCCTTTGAAGCTACTTGCTTCATTGCAACTCATCAGTGAAGCGCATCGTTTGCAGGGGAGGTTGCAGATTGAGAATCTCTACAAAAAGCTGACAAATATGAATTTACAGTCACCCACAGATCTCTCAGAATGTTCTGTTCCAGGATTCAGCCTCCGGAACCGGGTGCTTCATGGGGTCTGGTTGCAGGCGTTCGGTATCTGTCGGTTGTGCAAGTTGGTCCGCTATTGGCTTTTCCTGTGTTGCGTCTGGTTTGAGGTTTCCCTAATTTTCCGGCTGGTCTTGGGCCGCTGGGGGTTGGGACACAAATCGTTTCAAGGGAAGCGGGTGAAGAGCCTTGGTTGATTTTGAGGGCGCAACGCACGGGGCATACGGATCCTCCTTCATTCCCCCGAAGCACCAGCAAACAGTTGTCGCGTCCCTTTTTTGCAGGGGGGTTGGGATCTGGCCATTTGGCTCCTTTCCAAAGCTCAATTGAAATCTGAGGTCTGGGCTTGGCCGGGCGCTGATAAATTGATTGGATCATATCAAATTTGCCATCCAAGCTGCAAATCTAGAGATCTGTTTCTGCAGAAGTGATCGAGGCTCTCCATGCGGGAGAACCTGGCAGCCTATGACTTTCGGAGCTGGATCGGCCATCAAAATCTCAGCCGCCGAGGACTTGCGGACTTGCGTTGCGGTGTTCGAGAGCCTCCCTCCCCAAGCATTGGACTGTTCATTGGAGAGCTAGGCACATCGTTGGGTTTGAACCTCGAAAAGCTGGGTTGTGCAAAGGTATTCCTCAATCCTTACCTTCGGTTACGCAACAGGGTTTCTGTTGTAGTGGCTGCCCTATAGGGATTATGCATTAGGATTGGCCAACCCTCCGTTTTGAACAGCCCAGTAGTAGCCAGGACGGAAAAAAAAAAGCAAATCCCAAATTAAATCTCGACCCGGAAGGGTAGGTACCTGCAGCCCTTTTTCTTGACACTTTCTAACGATTTCCTCAAAATTGTTCTATTCCCCGTCATGGGTCAGAATTCCAACCCAGTGTTCCAAAAACCGTTCGGTAGTGGGACCTGTTGATGTGGCAGTGCTGGGACTATAGAAGGTGGATTCCAGAGTAGCTCGACCACTGATTGTGTCAGGTAAGTGAGCGCTGCAACGCCACTACTGTGGAATTCAGGCCATTTGGGCTCTTTGATCGCACAAGGGTGAGATAGTATCGAATTTGAAGATGCTCGAATGACACAGGGCAGCAATTATAAGTGATCGGCGGCAAATGCAACGAGTGCAGCAACATCAACATCGATTGATTTGCTGGCAAGCTTGTCATTGCTGCGCCATGCATGGTGGTGCGCCGCGGTGTGCCACGACAAGGCTGTCTTTGGGGGGGGGGGGCATGTCAGTCCTTGGATGTGGCGCATCACAACCGCTGCAAGTTTAATGCGCATACCAAGTTTATAAGCACGGCAGCCGTGTTTGCTCGAGCTGCAGCCTTTCGCCTATCCGGGGCTGTTGCAGGCTGTGAAGGACATGCTAGGGGGGTTTGAGTTGACGGGGCTTGGTGCTGCCTGGGACAATGACCCGGAAATTCGAGAGCGCGTCCGGAAACACAAGAAGTTCATGCTTGCAAGTAAGCCAGATGATGGTTTGGACCCTGGCTTCGTTCAGAAGACTGTGCTCAACCTGAAGGCTAACAAAGGCATGCTGATGCCAGTCTTGGACTTTATGAGGGAAAACGACAAGAAGATTCCGGCAATTGATGATGTGGCGGTAGAAGTCAAGACCCTCTTTGAGAGATCCGGGCTGGAAGTTGATGCTACAACAATATTTGAACAATCTTGGGCAGTTCGAAGGCTGCTAACCTACACAAAGTCCTTCACTTACAAGCAATCGGTGCCTCAGGACACAGATGACATTAGCAAATATACATGTTTGCTTTCTATGTTCAGTAGTTGCAAAACCTTCTTGGTGGCAGAGCCCAAAAAGGCGCTTTGAGTTGCTGCAAGTCAGCCCAACGTGATCGAGTTTCTCAATTGAACATGTGTACCGTTGAAAAAGAGCCCTGCCCTGCTCACCGGTCGCAGCTGCCCTTTTTCTGCGCAGGACCCAGTGATTCGTGAGCTCCTGGAGCGCCTCGGCCACATTGCGCAGTCGCAGGACTGTGGCATCCCCCCCCCCCCTCTCTCTTGCTCTGTCTGTCTCTGTCTGTCTTTGTCTCTGTGACTCTGTGTCTCTACTCTGTGACTCTGTGACTCTGTCACTCTCTCTCTCTTTCTCTCTCTCTCTCTCTCTCTCTCTTTCTCTTTCTCTCGCTCTCTCTCTCTCTCTCTCTCTCTCTCTCTCTCTCTCTGCCTCTCGCTGTCTCCCCCACACCCTATTCAGCACTTCTTATTTTCAATTACACAACGGTCTCTCTGGAAGCTCACTCGTGCAGGAAATGGGCAGTGACGGACTACCCCTGGACATCGACATGCTAGATGCAGCTGCTGCTGGGGGCAAGGCCTGCAGCGTGCCAGCTGGCTCCGGCCTTCAGGAGGCAGCGAACCTGCAGGAGGCAGCGAAGGATGATAGTCCGGCTCTCCACGACATCCCCTCGCCCGAAGTGCTGGCACGCAGGGACGCGTTCTGGTCACGGTTCAAAACAAGCAAAAGCGATGAGCCTGGCACGAGCACCTTGAACGATGGCGCCGTGAATGAGGATGAGGCTGTTCACGAGGAGTTGGTCGCAATTGAGAATTTGAGGAGTGAGGTGGAAACCAATATGGACGATGACAGCGAGGGGTCCATGCCCAGAGGGGCGCTGGAGGATGAAGGCACGCCCAACGTTTTGGAGGACGCGTCCATGTCCAACTGAGCGATCAACATGTCTGCTACCTCGATCCAATAAGTTATGCGACTGTTCAAGATACGTGCTGCCTTCATCTTAGGAGGTGTGGGGGGCCCTGATTTACATATATAGCTGCCAAGGGGCTGACCCAAAAGCACACATTCTGCAGAGAAGAATTACACCCCAAACTTTCATTGGCAAACCGAATCAGACTTGGAAAGTGTTTGTGGGTCAGTCGCTTTTACCCCGCTCTTGCAAGGAGGCGACTGGTCTGGATCTTGATGCCCCTGAGCGGTGCCAGCCTGGATGCGACGAGGCTGACGGTGTGGAGATCGTTAGCGTGAAGAAGCCTGAGGAGCTTTCTCTGCAGCAGCTGCAGCAGCACTTGTTGCGCCGAGAACAGTTGCTGGTGTGACTTTGGCGGCATTTGCGCAACGTTTTCTTGCTGAAGGCCTGCGCGAGCAAGCCAAAACGATTTGAAAGATTGGACTCGTCACGCCTCCGCAACATCCTACTTGTGTGGTTCTGTAACTGACACTGCTTGGCTACTAAGGAACACACTTCCTCCTTCAAGCCTGGTGCGGCTTCGCTCATCGCTCTCGCTGGGGGACGCTAGCCAACCCAAGTGTCGCCTGGACCTGGAAGGGCTAGCAACTCCAAACGTGACACAAATTTGACATATGTGCGCAAAATTGACCTTCGCCCCATCGATCTTCATAGCCTTGCATTACTTGGCAGAACTGCGGACGCATGCATGGAACTTCCACAAACAAGTTCAGTTCTTGGCACAGGGCGCTTCAAGCGCGTTGAAATGAGGCAAGACCTGCGAGTCGCGTCCCGGAAAACACTTAGACTTAGCCTTTAATGCCAAGACTGGGCAACACTTGTATGTTCGTTTTGGGTCTGGGGGGCGGGCCGGTTGCAAGTAAGGTATCTATGTGGATGAGACCCAGCACTACGGCTTAGACACTGCTGAGACACAACTCGTTGAGGACCCTGCTGATTTGGGAAGATCCACATCCGCGCTCAAGGTGATCAAGGCTGAGGAAACGGCCATAGCAGAAGTGGCAGCTGCTTCCAGCACGCCTCCGACGCAGGATTGGGCGATGGGAAGCAAACCGGTTCCGTCATAGGGTGTTATGGTAAGCAGGCGCCCCGTAGTTTTTGAGGAGCTGTGAGTGGCCCCTTATGGCGGACCCGGCTCCTTCAAACAGAAGTGGAAATGGCCACACATGTTCGCAACAACAGAGTTTGAGTCGCTCTATAGTTGTGTGGAACCTGTAAAAAAGCAGTTGAAGGCAAGTGCGAAAGGAGTTCCATTCTTGTGTGCGGTTTGACGTTCACCACGCTGCGTGGCAACTTGATCCCCTTGTTGTCAAGGTGCAGTTGGTGTGTTGGCCTAGTGCGCCATTGGCGCTGCACCATACCCTGCAGTCGCTGAAATCCGACTTCCCGGAGATAGAGCCAGCGGGATACATCACCAGGCGCGACCAGTTTGCTCTTAGGGACACGCTAGTGCAACAGAAAAAGGAGCAGGTGGAGAAGAATAAGCAGGACAAGGAGTTGCAGACCAACAGGCGACAGAAAAGCTCAGCTAAAGCTAAGGCAAAAGCAGGAGTCACAAGACCAAAGTCAGGCGGCAGCAAAGCAAACCAACCTCAGGATACTGCAGGCGGTACCGACGCATCCTGTCAAAAGGAAAGCCCGCCTTTGCAGGCAACCACATGTGCCTCCAAGGAGCCACCCGTTGCCGCTACCCCGGCTGCTTGTGCGACCCCCCTTGTCGAAGAGGGCGGAGCAACTTCTACACCTACTGCCTCTCCCAAAGAGGAAGACTCCAAAGAACATCATGAGAAGAATCTCACAGAATCCAGTGACAAAGGTGATCCCAAGGCAGCCAATGCACCAACACCGAAGAAATCCACAACCAAGAAAAGAAAAGCATGCACGGCAGCCAATGGCGCCCCAGCCCGCGATACATCCACAAATGAGGGCACCGAGGAAAGCAAGCAGGAGGAAACCCAGCCAGCCCCCAAAAAGAAGCCACGAAACAAGCCACAGCCGGACGCCAAGCCTCCTGCCAAGCGCAAGCGCCGCCAAGTGGAGTCCCACACCATCGACTTGTCGCATCGCCCACCGACAACCCAGGAGGCTGCCACATCAGAGCTTCATGCGTTGATGGTGGAGTGCCGGGCAAAAGAGGGCCCGCATCAGGATGTGGCACAGCAGTTCCCCACTCACGCCCATGTCAGGCTCTCCATTTATTGGAAAGCGTCCGCTGTTGGTGTGAAAGTCAGTGCTCAAGAAAACAAAGATGCCCCATGGAAGTGGACCCAGCCCTACTACTTGTCCATGCCAGTGGGGTGCATGTGTGCCAAGATCTATTGCGCGAAGCAGATTGCTACTTGGTCGCATCCCGGGACCTGATTACGTGTGTGTCTATTCAACAAATCAAGTTTATACTGCGCACACTCGCAACTCAAAAGCTTCTACCGTGCTTCAACACTGTTTCGCTTAGTTTTTGGAACAGGGGCCATCTCTCTTCCCAGGGCCTCGCCTTCCATCACTTCGAGAACCAAAGCTCCCAGCAGCACGAGGTGGCGGCCTGCGTGACTCGTGTGATTGCAGCGCTCAACCGGGCAAATGACATGATTTTGGAGCGAGCATGAAATCTCGCCGAGATCTGCCGTGTTCACGTGCACTGGTGTTAGGCTTGAGCGAGCCTGCTATGCCCATTCAGCAATCCATTGTACAACTGGTGGGTTAGTGAAACGCATGCAGTTGTTTCGGCTGGCTGCGCCAAGTCTGCGAATTGTACATGGCCAGTGGCCACTTTGCTGCCATCA